GAAAAAAATGCAGCGACATCAAACCCGGGAGAAATAACACTAGGAACATGTGAAAGGCAAATGGGACCACTAAGAACAGTTACCCCAGGGGCTATGGTACTCCCTTCCAACCAAAGTGGGGCGGAAAACAGGGAAGAACCAACGAGAGAAGCGGCAATGACTAAACATACCGAAATAAGGTTAAACCCCTTGGCAAGCTGGATAGGTGAAATAGGCCTATCTGGGGTAGGAATAGCGGTAACCAAACACGAAACTGGGCTAGTAGGCGACCCTAAGAGAGAGCTTAATGAGGGAAACGCAGTAAGAGGATTAGTATTACTACAACGAACTGTGAACTTCATTGTATCATGCCCAAAATATACCGTACGTGCATATTATTCAATCAATGCGTTTGTAGCACTTAAATGGTTTTGACCAAAAAGAATTGGCCACGATAAATTAGGCACTACGAGCATGGAAAATGTTGAGGTGATTCCCGAGTCCCATACAATAGGTACCTGCATAATTCCAACTGCTTGTAGCTGAGACGAAGGACAAGCAGCTGAAACAACGATGGGATGTTCCAACTTAGTAAAAGTGAGTGTGGGGCAGTTACGAGCAACTGTTTTAGCCTGGTTTTCACTCACTAATGAAATGGAACATCCCGTGTCCAAAGGCAGAGGGAGGGACACGCCTGCGGACGAGACTTTCGTCCACAAAATATGTTTACCAGCAAGATCGGCCAACGAAACACTAGATCCTAAGGCCGAAGGTAATGATGAAATGGCAGGGAGGCCAAAAAGATGATCTTGCTGTTGATCAGGGGTCCTAGGCGTAGGCGACTGAGGTAAAACAGCCTCAACATGTTCCATGCGTACAGATAAAGAATCTAATTTATCACTGATAGCCTGTAAAACATTATGATCTTGCTTTTCAAAAGGTTCTACGCTACATGAATTAACCTGTGCTTGAGAAACAGAGGGATGTCTGATACGACGTCTAGTACGATCAAAATTTGTCTTAGTTAACGAATGGCGTATAGCCTTGCAACGGTATTTCTCGCATACACTACATTTGTGCAATAACCCTTTCGAGCATCGATTGTTTGCTCGTTCACAATAAGAACGTGAAAATTTATTGAACTGAATACAAATTCGTTCACCTGAAATTCGGCGAGGTTCTTGACGCTCGTTCTTCGAAGGAAAAGGTGATGCTGGCATCGCAATAGCATCCTTGGGTTTCCAAGACTGAAGTTTGGGTCCTTCCGGATATGATGGCAGAAATCGGGCTTCGATTCTTTTGGCGGCTTCCACGAGGGCAGCGAGGGTGTCAAAATGGAAATCTCGGCTGAGGATATCCTTAGAAAGGTCCGGTCGTAGCTTGAGGACAAACGCATGTATTAATTCGGTATCATTTCCAGGGCTGGGACGATGGATTCCGGGAATCAATTTTTCCAGAGCATGTTGGGTTTCCGTGAAACGGTGAGAGAAATCGGCAACAGATTCTGTTCGATGCTGCTGTATCGAATAATACTGAGACAGAAGGGTCTGAATCTGCTGATCTTTCGGAATCCCTCGTTGTGCTGCAAGTGAGCGGAGGCAGTGATTAAACCAATCGAGATGATCTTCATCTTTTGCATCAAAGGGTGGGGCGTGCACCTTATCATCGTCCATTGAACACAGGGGCGGATTCAGACGGTGGCACCGGTGGCACGTGCCACGGTCAGATTTCCAAATTTGAATTTTTGGAAAATAATGAACTGTTCTATCCCGATATGGTCCTTTCTGTCTAACAATTCCTCTTCGCTCCAGCGTCTATCTACCACGCCCCCTCTCCGCTGTTAATTTAGTAGTACGCCATGTTGGATTTGCTTATTGTTTGCCTTTTGTTAACCACAGAATAATTGGCTCTACCAAATATGGATAGTAACAATCGTGCCACACTAGATATAAATATAAATATGCGCGCACATTTTTAAACAATATGTTTTGAGACCAAATGGCTGTGCTTTTGTTCTTGTGCCACGGTCGAGGCTCTGTATGCTTCTGTTGAGACCCGAGAAATGTGTATTGAAATCAATTGCATCGAGACTCCGTATGTTCTTTCATTAAGTGGCACCGTGGCACAAATATTTAAAAAATGTGCTGTCGAGTATGAACTTGCTTAGGTGATTCCGGTGATTGCTGGGTAAACAAACAAAACGTGTTCGGTCTGCAGGAAACTGACGATTCTGCACGCAAGAATTTTATTGAGTTCGAATTTGAGTTTATTGCAAAGATTACCTTTGCTTTGGCAATGGATATTCAAAGAGTAGTTCAAAAATCTATTAAATCGCGAGTCCATGCAGCTTTGAAGGAACTTTTCGTGGACGAGCTGTCGAAGCTTCGCAAAAGTATGCCTAGTTTAATTTGTCAAGAATTTGATCTGGCTAAAGATAAAGATAATTTTATCTGTCAGTTGTAAGAACTAGCCATTATTCATAAATTGTTAAATGTATATTTTTAAGTGCGTCCAGTGACTAGCCTACATCAGTTTGCATCGTTATTTGTTTGCAAGTTGAAAACATAGAGCCAGTATTGTTTAATGATAAAACGACAGGAGCGGTGACAGCTTTGCGCTAAATGTAACTATGTTTTCGCTTTAAAGCTATACCCATATAGACCAGAGGGCGTGGTCACCTAACACTATTTTTGTGCCACGGTCATGATTTTTTCTGCGTCCGCCCCTGGAACATAAAATGTCGTAGGCTCGCGCATCTTGAAAGCATTGCTGCTTGACATAAGTGAGCCATAAGCGGGGTGGGACATCGGAGGACGTCAAAACATTTTGCATTTGCTGGAGAAATCGGTCCAGTGGCTCAGCTCCCGTAAACTTCGGCAGTTGTAAATTCGGTAGCTTAGAAGCATTTGGGTGTCTCGCGGTGTGGGTGGAGAGTTGTGCAACAGTGGCAGAAAGCTCTTGAAGCTGTTGCGCTGTAGACTCCGAGGCATGTTTCTGGGCCTGTTGTTGGCTTTTAACAACTTCAGCAAGCCCATGTATGAGGCCTAACGTCTCTTCGTGCGACATTTATCGGGCTCGAGGCATATGTAAAAAACGGGTCCTTCACCAGTTGTGACAGATCGTAACGGTAGAGCGTTGAGAAAAGAGAACACCACTTTCTGCTGTATTCAAATCAAAATCCCATTCTCCTCTTATTTCCAATCTCTCGATTTATATACCTCTATTAATTATAATTGACATATCACGTGATTACAGTTTACAATGTGATTGGTCCTGTTACAATTTTCCAACTTGCGTCCCTGCAAGAACAAAAAAGTTTTAATTATTTTTCAAAACGAGGCCCTAATTGTGATTAAATATGGAGAATTGTTGAGTGAGGGGAAGAGTCAATAAATATCATTTTTTTAAGTTGGATTTCACAATGGATGAGGTCGAGAGAATATCAACTATTGACTTTGAAGACTCAGTGAACGTGCAGATTAACCACCCCTCATCAAGTGAGAGCAAGGAGGCTCCCCAAAAATGCGAGGCAAAACAAGAGATAACTTCCTCCTCGTGTCCTGTTGAAGGCGTAACTGTATTTCTTGACAGGGCAGAAGTCAGAAGGTTAATAAAAGCAAGCCTTGTTGTTGGTGAAAATGAAATCCTCGTCACGGGACTGCCGTCATGCATGGACGAAGACTCGATTAGGTAATTTTTACTTTGTTTGTTAAGTTTTTTCTAAAAAGACGATGTTGATTGAATGGTGGCTTACTTGTCAATCTTCAGACAAAGATCATTGGACAACAGCGTGACTGGTGTCTTTCACAATGTGCTTCTTGTTTGCTGCTGCTTAGAAAGTTTTACAATTTTTTGGCATACTTTTAACACATTTCACCAATTCCATTCTTGAAATGGAAGTCAATGCTTTATGGGGCCCCCAAGACCTCAAGTGCCTGGAGAAATTGGTCCCCCTTGCCCCCTTTTGGCTGCCCTTATTATACCACCTCAAATCAAAAAATGAAGCCACAACCCTGATATTCAAGCAGCCTTCACTCTTTCCCTTGAAAAATAGTGACTTTTTAGTCATCCATCGTAAGCATTTTTGGCAATATTAAATTATATCTCTCACAAACCATGACAAACAATCCTTTCTCAACTGGTCTCATCCGTATAACTCTATGTAGATAATCATAATTATGTTATTTCACATAACTATCAAGTCACTTTCACTGTAGAAAATTTGTGTTCTGTACATTAATTTTGCTTCAAAGCAAATAATCATAGGGAACAATACTCAAATAGACAGTGGATGAGAACAGGTATTTCTGTAAACTGTAATTTTTACAAGTTAAACTTCCTAAAATTAGTCCTTCATCGGAAAAATGCGTGTGCGATTGCACACACACGCCCTAGCGCACACCCTAGCGCACGCCTACCGCCTTTCGAGGAGTGCAAAATATCACACGCCCTCTTTAATTCTGGTCTACTTTTCCCCCCGTTGTATATTTATCACTATAACTAGGGGGGGACTTACTTTTTATCGGCAAAACAGACATTTGCAAACATGCGCTATTTATGATGCAAAAAATGGAGAAGAGATTTGTGTAAAAGTTTACACCTTTTCAAGGCTTCATGGCATTTCAGTGAACAAATCCAAACATAGAAGACTAAAACAGACATTTGTGTCTCCGAATTTTATAAGGAACATTAAGTGTTGTGTAATCTAAATGTGCCCATATTCGTTTTAGAGTTCAATGCTTGGGGGAAGCAAAGATATTGGAAGTTTCACATTTGAGCAAGAAGTTGTACATTACAGAGTTAAAGGATCCAAACCCAGAAGAAACCAAATCTGAAACCCAAATTTTGAAGGAGACTAGAATTGATACCAAGAATAAGATTAAAAAAATTCAAGATAGAATCCAATTGTTGGAAAAAGAGAAAGCCTTCTTGAACAGTTATGGTGAAAGACTTGGACCAGTTGCTAATGTATGCTAATTTTTGCTATTTATGCTAATATATGTTGCTTTAAAGCTGAATCAGTGAAATATCTTACTAGGCCTCCAAATGTGCTGGCATCCTTCTCAAATGAATTTAATTTAAGTTTAATCATTACAAGTCATTTAATCTGCAAAAAGTCTTGAATGAATTCTACAGTTTTTACAAGAATGACCCAGATTAATGTTTTACTTGGCCAAAACAGTAGCCGACCATAGTTTTAGAAAAGTGCACAACTGGTGACGAAAATGGGTCTCAGAACCAATTAGTTGTTTCCCCTAGGATCTATTGTAAAGGGACCAAGGAGCATATTACAGATCTAGGGAAGCTAAAAAGTTAAACATGCAAAAGGCCAAAAGCAAAATTATTTTTTTTATCGTTTTATGTAGATTTTTTAAAGTCGTAGGGATTTTTTTATTAATGAACTGAACAAGTTTACTTTCCACAAAAATTTGCTTTACTAATTATGATGATAGAACTAACATTAGTATCATTTCTGGCTACATAAAGATTCATCCAATCATTTTTTGATATGATTCTACCATTTTTAACATAGGCAGATAACTTCAGTGTATTGCAGCTGTTCTGATTCTTTTGGCTCTTCAATTTTGTCTCTTTTTTGTGCCAAAGTGTATTGTTGCTTCTTCTCAACAATAAGTGTTCATATAATTACCAACGATCATTTGACATTGCAGGTCAGTGATAAACTGGTAGAATCATTTGACAAGAAGAGCCTCGAAAATGTTGCTGCTTTTATTGGCTTCTACCATACTCAAGGGAAAAAACTGAGTGATGAATTATTTGATGACACAAATGAATTGAATGGTTTAGAACTAAAGCTCAAGCAAATTGATGAGCGCCTGGAAGAACTGGAATCGCTTTGGGGCTCTAGCTCACATGCATATTATGATAAGTAAGTGAAAACACTTGCATAATCTAAATTTCATTGTCTTAAAAGTGTGACTTGTATATTCAGTAGTATTCGGTAATGCAAGAAGATTCTTTCAGTACAGCCAAATGTCCATGAAATTTCAAATAAATTGACAAAAAAGTAAAAAACCTAGATTTGACATTAGAAAGGTAAAATCATTATCAGTCACAAATGGGCTTGTCAAGATGAGCATTTAGAAGAAGTTTGTAACAATACCTTTGGTTTTTTGCAAAAACGTGACATGATATAATTTTCTTAACAGACTGTAAAAAATTCCAACCTATGCAAATATCAAACTTTAAAACTCTGGCTCATAGTATGCACTGACAATTTATATTATTTATATTATGTTTATACTAAGTGAATGGGGACCACACATTTTTGTTGAAGTTATGAAAAAACATACTTCAGAAAGTCCAGCTTTTGTGAGTTTAATGTTTAATTGTTTTGGTCTTTTTGCAATCTCCTCCCGTTTAACTTATCTACTACATTACTTTTTTTCAGACGAGTTTCAATTTTACTTGAAGCACAACAAGAAACAGAGTTGCCTCTAGTCGTTTCATATGTTGTTACTGGTGCATCATGGAGTCCTCTCTATGATATCAGAGCATTTAGTAAAGATAATTCACTGCAGGTAACCCATTACTAAGTTTGCATGTTACATTTTTCTGATGCTGATGATATATCTTTCATAAACCTTATAAGTGTTTTGCATTTTATAAGACTGCTGCAAAGTTCTAAAGCTTTACTGAGCTATATTTTCTTTTACCTGTATAAATAAGTTATTGGCTGGAAAACAACAAGTTTCTGCAAGTGAAAATAAAGGCATTCCTATAATCACAGCCAGTGTTATTTGCTAAGTTTTGTTCTTTGAATCCTTTACACTATGTTAACTTTACAACAACTTGTTAAGAACTCTTGCTGCATGGTGCTTCTTTTTAGTTATTTGGTTACACATATCTAATTTTTTTCTGATTAAGAAAGTTATTTATTTTTTTTAGTTGTTATATTTTGGGGTTATCAAACAGACAACAGGGGAAGACTGGCCTGATGCTAAACTGTCACTGAGCACAGCACTCCCAAGTGTCGGTGGAGCACCACCAGAGCTGGAAACACTCCATATTCATACTATTGGAAAACTGCACCGTAGACCCAAGAAAAGATATGGTAGCAAACTGGAAAGAGGATCACTGGTGGAATCAGGGTAGGAATGAATATTATAGAACAAAGTTGCCAGTGGTTTTAGTAAAGCCACACTTGGAAAGCAACTGTGCTGGTTGTAGTATTCATAACAAACTTGGGCCTAAACCCTATGCAACTTACAATTAGTTAATTCAACTGCCCCTTGGGATGTATATGTTCATGTCAGTTGTATCAATGTGTTGGAATTTCGTCCCTTTACCAATTAAATCAAATTTATTTTCACAACAGCTATATTTACTATTACATTTTCAGTTGATTTCAATCCAAAGTATTTTAAACTTGACCCATACTTGCTCTCAATATCTGATTACCTGTATACCATCAGTATCTGTTGAATTTAGGACCCCAGTGTTATATTTATTCACTTAGGCATTTTGGCAATTTACTTTCCCTACAAATTTGTTATCTTGACAATACTGGCCTTGTGTGCCTGTGTGAAAGATTTCAGATCTTCTTAGTTTTCTTCCAATCGCCTCTAATCCTTTGTCCAAACTCAGTCACCTTGTACCACTAGATTCTCATTTTGTTCTGTTGAAAGATCTAACATTTATTGTACTTTTTAACTTCAGTGCTGTTTCTGCACGCTACCATCTTTTCCAACAATAAACCTTTTAGTATTTACCACTCAGTCTAGATATTTGCAACAATCCGTGTATATATGTCCTTATGCATTGCCAGCATCTTTAAAATCCTTTGTTTTTCCCAACTGTATTGGCCATCTTATGCTTGCCCTGGCTTGTTCTTGCCCTTGCTTGTCAGAGGTGTTTGATAGAATGCTTATCATACCAACTCAGTTCGCAAAGAAAAGTTTTAATTTTATATAGTTAAAGCTCTTTATTATAATTTTTACCTACAGTGGCATTGAAAGATTGTTCAGAAAGATTGTATATGACCATGTTTAAACATCCTGTCAGAAAAAAGAACTGTCTTTTGCAGATTTTTTTCTAATTGCATGACTAGATAGAAAAGCTTTGAGTATTATTTTATTTATAGTAACCCTATTGTCTGTGCCCCATGGAGTGCATGAAGGAGAACATTACAAAGATTTTTGGTCGAAAGATTTTCATTTATAAAAGCTTTGTTGTTTTGTTAAATGCATTTTAAGATTTATAAGTCAAATTCAAATAGCAATTTTTTGACCTTTTGCTTTGCCATTCTGCAAGCTCTGAAATATGCAATTATTTTTATTAAAATTCAGCTTGGTAAATGATTTGGAGCCGTGTTTTGGTCTAATGTCAGATGATCAGTCTAACAGGGTAAGCAGCAACTGTTCACAGAAAACTGTTGAGTATAGAAGTCTAGAGAGATAGTGTGATAAGAATTTATAACAAAATGTTTTGAATGTTTTTCTACAAATACTTTGAAAATTTTTTGCTTGTAATTTTTTAACTTTTATTCTTGTAAATATCAACTTTTATTATTTAAAATACCAATCTTTGATTGATACCAGTAATTAGACTAACCTGTGTAAATGTGAAAGATTATTATATATTTTTATTACTATATTAAAAAATTATTTTAAAGACATGCAAGATTATGATATTACCACTAAGACGAAAAAGCTGCTTGCAACTTTTGTAACTTACAATAAATATTTTTCAAGGCTTTTCAAGTTTTTGCTTTGGTTCCCCCTATAATTTTTCTTCTTATATAGTATATTTTTAATCTCCACTAGTTGTGAAGGTCTTTAATCACAAGTTAGAAAAAATCTGCTATCGGTATAAGACTAACTGATTTGGTATCAGTAAAAAGACTTTTTTTATTTTGACAATGTTTATGATACCCTGACTTATTTTATGACGTACTTTGAATCAGGGGGTAACTGACCTCCTAAAGTTGCCGTTCAACAAGCAAATAGCTTACTACTTAATCTGAACTGTCTCTTCTTAATTTTCCACAGCTCCTTGCCATGAATTGTTTGATTAATTATTCCTCTTTTCCAGTCATTTGCATTGAATCAATATATCCCGACAGACGTCAAAGAAGGAATAACAAGTGCAACGTTCAGCATTCCTCGAAAATCTACAATCAAAAGTGATGACACTGAGCACAACGTAGCAATTTGTCAAATCGACTTAAAGCCGAATTTTGACTACGATTCTGCACCTAAGTTGGTGGCACATGCCTTTTTGCATGCAAAAGTAAAAAATGAATCAAACTATGCTTTGCTTGAAGGGCCTGCCAAAGTATTTTTGGATAACAACTTTCTCACAAAGGTATGCGGTCTTTATTATTAACAGGCTAATACTGATGTTTGTGTGCTGGAAATCACCGATTAGGCGCTACGGAGTCAAATAAGCGCCCACGTCCGAATAAGCACCCACCCTGCGACCAAATTGGTTTTGATACGTGCCCACTTCTGAATAGCGCCCGAATTCGAATAGACGCCCAGGGGAGCAAACTGAATCATTATTTGGAAGATAAAAGACCACTGTATTAGGAAAACAATTGTTATTTGGTCAATATTAGTTTCACAGGTTCAGGGCAACCTAAAGTTGATTACAAACAGTTATTTCAAAATGTTAATAATACTTTTGTTTTGAAAGAACTGAGTGTGAAAGTAAGTTGTTTGACTTGTTCAAGGAATTTAACAGCAGCTCGATTATCACAGTATAAAGTTCATGTTTTTTTCGATCACTGCTTTCCAACGTCTTGATTGGCAAATGGCCAACTGATGCACCTTCTTTTTAAACCCCAGTAACATTCGTGAAACAGTCCAGTTTTTTTGCTACCATTTTTTGTAAAATTAGGCAGAATGTATATATATATGTAAATAACACATTATTTTTTTCTTTATTAAGATAAAAATTGAAAAAAGCAGTTTTTCTAACATCTTTTTTTGGCTTAGATTGATATCGGCTCCACTTATGTCTTAGACACACATGGATGCTGTCAGCCCCTCGGAGGAATTTGAACTTTCTTTGGGTGTTGACCCTGCCATTAAAGTTACCTACAAGCCATTGAGAAAATTTATGCAAAGAACTGGAGTTGTGTCTAAATCAACACAAACTGACTATCATCAACAGATCTCTGTCAAGAATACCAAGACAACAACTATCAAAATTAAAATCAGGGATCAATTGCCCAAAAGCAGTGAAGATAAACTCAAGGTTTTTTTCTGTCCCCATTTTCTTGTTGCTTTTATTCGGTTATTCATTCTATTCTTTATTTGATTTTGATACGTTGCGAGATCCTTGGAATTCTTTGATGCATTTTCTATATAACTTTGCCTATAGGCTGATATTTATAATTATTTCGAGGTGTAATTTTTTTATAAATGCTCTTTTCTGCGTGGATGTTTAGTGCTCAAGCCATATTATTGACTCTTCACCAACGCTTTCTCGATTTCACTGTTGCTTTAGGTTATCCTGAAAGAGCCAGCTATTCCTTCACTAAAGCAGAAAGGTAGTGCTGGGGAAGAGCAGCCAGTCAAACTAACAGATAAAAATCACATTGAATGGAATTTGGAAATAAAACCTTCAGAAACTAAAGAGCTGAACATGAAGTATACTGTTGAGCACCCTGCAGACATTGCTATTTCTGGATTATAAAGCGAAACGAGCTGCTGACTACTACCGTGATATTTTAATGCAAATTGACAAATCTTACGTAATCAGCAATAAATGAAACACGTGCCTTTTTCTTTATCCTGTTTATTTATGCTTCTTTACTTATTTTGCTTTTCCGCCATAACGTAAAATGTTCCTGCTCGTAAGAGAGATGATAGTTTTACAACAATGTCACTTCAATAACATGCCCCTTTGGATGATGATGGAGACATACCTCTCGTAGTATTGCTCAAGTGAAGGAAGGGGTGACGAACCAAACCTATAATTAGGGGGTGATCTGTGTGACAATCAGATAAATATCTCATTATCAACAAATCGTGATGTAGATTACTTCATGTTTCCTTCTTCCCAAGGGAGTCATGTCCTGTTGTCTAAACAAGCAGAAATACGTCTGTACACTTCATAATTATTCATATTTAAGTATGCTTAGTGAAATTTGAATCCTTTATTATTAACCATACACAACATAATTAGGTATTTAATTTGTTTGTAATCGTTTCTAGTGCATTCATTCGCAATATTTTGCTTGATCTATTAAGACTATTTGTATTTCAAACATCACCTTCCAGTACTTCATGTATTTTTGTAATCGAATGACAAATCAGACATCACTGATTTTACTCTTCATTCTTAGAATTTAAGTTTTAGAATTTAAATTTAGATACTGTCTAGCATTCGTATTATAGAAGACTCCCTTAGCTTAAAATTTTTCATTCTTTTCTGATACACATAATAGCAAGAGCATAGCAGAGCGTCTTCGGTTTTCTCGGTAGCATTTCCTTCAGTATACGTTCCTTGGTGCAAATTGCAAAACCAAAGTCAATATCTTTCAACAGTCTTGCAGCCTTGTGCTCAACTGATTTCAGGATTGTTCGACCATGGTTGCCAATCAAAGTTTATCTACCAAGATTGTTTCGCCATTATCACCTGACAAGAGGCAAAAAGACATCGTTGCATTTTCTAGGAGAGAAGTTTGAATTTGTATCCTCTAAGTTGGAATTTGTTTCTCGGACAACAAAACTAATAAAAATATTTTCGGTTAAGGAATTCTCTGATCGGCAGTGGAATAGCTTGACCTTCCAGACTAGGGAGTGGAGGGTCATGAGAAGTAAAATATACCGACAAAGACATGGATAAAGAGAAATTTGGGTGCTATTTCACCTACCATTTACCAATGAACGATCTTCCCGACAAACCAAGGAATATTTGCATCAGATAAAACTTCACCTACAAACTCATCTGTTGCTCAGTTTACGGAGGCTGTTTTTGCTCCGAATGGCGCCACTGTTCCAAATGGTGTAAAATTGAGGCTAGGAAGTAGTTTTGCCACATGTAGGGATTCATACCAATTTTATTGATTTCCAGAAGTTTACAGGTTGTAGGGAAAACCTACGGGATAAATGAAGAAAAGTAGGTAGTTTTCTGGAAATTGTAGGGATTTATATTTGTTTGCGGCCAAGCAATTAGATTGCTTGTTTTTTATACCTTTGAACATCAATTTCCACTGACTTTTCATTCAAGTGCAATATATAGTTATGAAAAGATATTCCGCAAAAAATTGCAAAACCATATTTTACGTCAGAGTAACGTCTTGCAAAAGCATTACCTTTTAATTGAATAATTGTTTTGGTCCTCGATCTTTATGGCTTTTTAAAATAGACTTTCGCTGAAAGTTGTCCTTAGAAGCATGGGTGGATGTGGGGATATTTTGAAAACGTAGGGATATTTTGAAAAATATAGGGATTTGTGGGGAGAATCCACGCTGACATGCGTAGGTGAAAGTAGGTAGAAATCGCCTGCGCAGTAGGGAGACTATCTCTATGAGAAACGATAGGACGAGCGACAACGGCAACACCGCTAGGGAGGTGCACAAATCGAGCCCGGACGCAATAGGAGGAGCGTATTTCACTTCCGCCAACAACATGCCGGCTGCATCACTGAGTGGGCTGCATTCAATATGATCAAGATCAATTTATGCCTCGCTTGTAGTGTCTTAATTCACTTTTTCGTCGCTTTTACCGATGAAACAAATGTAAGCGGATGCAATTTTGATGAATGTACCTCGACATACGAATTTCCTAATCATAGCACAATCAGCCTAAACGGTGCCTGGTTTGGTTACAGCCTTGACAAACCTTGGATTAATTTCACTGCCAGGGTACCGTTCACTGTACATAGTCAACTCATAAAAGTGGGGGTTTTGCAAGATCCGTACTACAGGTTTAATGACAGAGACGATCGATGGGTATCTTTGGATACTTGGGCCGTCACAACAAAATTTGACCTTAGTGCTGCTTTCCTGTCTCAGGCAAAGACTAGTTTAGTTTTTGAATCGATTGACACCATTGCAGATGTGTATTTAAACGGGGTAAGAATCGGTGGCAGCAAAAGCAAATTTGTACCAAATATATTTGATGTTACTGGCTTATTTTTGAAAGGAAAGAACACAGTTACTGTCATATTGATGTCCCCCGTCAAATATGCTTCACTGGAAAGCTTGCTATACAAAAATAAATTCAATTATGCTGTGCTGCCTGACTGCTATCCAAATGTTCTACATGGTGAATGCCATAGCAATTTTATACGAAAAGAGCCATTATCTTTTGGCTGGGATTTTGGACCTTCATTTCCCACCCAAGGCTTGTTCGGTTCAGTTTATGTACAAAGTGTGAAAACTGCATTCATAGAAAATCTTCTTATCAATGTGAAAATGCATGCTGGTCAATGGGCTGTCAATGTGTGTGTGTATATCAATGATCAGTTTCGAAAATTTCCTATTTCAATTAACTTCAAAGTTGTTGAACTTAATCTTGGTGTTACTACAAAGAAAAAACTTCTATCTAAAGAATCAAGCAGGATTTGCACTGATTTGAATGAAATACCAGCCAATGTCGTGCAACAATGGTGGCCATGGCAATACGGCCAACAGAACTTATATACCCTCAAAGTAAGTGACAATTGTTGTTTGTAGATAATGTTATCATGCAAAAAAGATACTGGCAATGTGAGCATAAAATTTCTTATTACAAAGTAAGAAATAATGTGAAGGCCAATCTGCAGAGCATGGCAGTTCTCAACAAGATCTTGTGTGTGCAAGAGCAAATATAAATGTGTGCAAGAGTGCTGACAATGTGTGCAGCCTGTTCAGTTTTAGTTCAATGTGTGCAGCAAGCTTCTAACAGGTAAAATGCAGCCTACAAACTGATCTCACAAGTCACAACATGTGCATTTCACAAAATTTTAATTTCAGAAATATCAATTAGGGGCCATTAGTATATTTCATATGATAAAATTTCGATTATTGTGACTAGGATATCACATGGAATTTATCTTTTTCGAAATTGAAGATTCCAAAACTCGCACATACCCACAGTTTTTAGCATATTTAACCAACATTCAAGCCCACTGTCTCAAATCTCTTTCCTGGTCTCTCCTGAAACTCTAGCTTTTTACAAACCAAAAGAGTTCAGGCAATATCTGTTTCATAATTACTCTAAAATGCCACTGATGTTCAGTTTGTGCTTTTTAGCAACATGCTTGCCATAGCCTCACATTGAGAAAACATTGGAATTTAATTTAATTTGTGGTAGTTGTGCATGACCAAGCCATTTATTTCCTTTTCAACTGAATCTTCTGGATTTTTTTCTTTCTGCAATATCTTCTGGTCATTGTCATTTACTTCAATTTTGAAAATATTGAGCGATTTTTCATCTAAACAAAGCTACAGTTGGCAAACCCAATAACAGAAGATTCATTATAGACATCTTATTGCTAAAACTTCAGTCAAGTAGGTATGCTTTTGGCCATTTATGATCATTTTGAAGTTGCCAAATTTGAGATTCAAAATTTCAAAAGTTTTAGCCTGGCTACCAATCATTGGTTTTCTAGTTATTATTTTTATCCAAAATTTTTGCAATTGCTGGCAGTTGTGTTTTTTGTTTCAATTTGTTGTTTTGTGTCTCTCCCTCCTTGATTCTTTTGCTGTCACCTTTGCTGCAGTTTTTATCTTCATCAATATAAAATTCATGGTATTCATGGGAAATCCCAGTTTACTGCATAAATGCTCAAAGATTTTGAGTTAACATTTGTTAAAATTTGTTTCCTTTTTCTCAATATTCTTTGAAAAATTTAATTTTCTTTTTTTTTCAAGTTTTTCGTTGCCATTTTGACTCTGGCCTCTCGATATCTTGTCCCGATTATTTAAACTGAGATTTTAGTCTCTGAGTTAGGAGATACCCCTAAATTTGATAAGTCAAGTGGATGTGGCTTTTTGTTATCAATGCAAATACTTAAGGCCGTTTTCCACTAGGCGAATTTTTTCGCGCGAATCGAAAAAATATTCGTAACGATAGAGTAGGACCGTTATCTACTTTCTGCGAATCGAATTTTTTCGCTGCGAAATCTGTGAGAACACCACGCATGCTCACATTAGCAAAAATTCGATTCGCGCGAAAGAATTCGCCTAGTGGAAATCGGCCTTTACAGTTACCAGTTCTTGCATTGGAGAAAAAACTTTATTGTTAATGGCTTTACAACCTTTTAGGCTAGACTTCTATCAGAAGACGACCAAGAAGTACATGTCAAGGAAGTTCAATTTGGATTCAGAACAGTCGAACTTATTCAAGAACCAATTGCTGGCTCTGAAGGGCTGAGCTTCTACTTCAAGATAAATGGAATCGAGATGTTTTTGAAGGGATCCAATTGGGTGCCCACAGATGCTTTCAGGGACAGGGTTTCTAATCACACAATTGAAAGCTATCTACAGGCAGCTGTTGAAGCAAATATGAATATTTTGCGTGTCTGGGGAGGAGGGGGCTACGAAACCGATTACTTCTATGAAACATGTGACAAAAAAGGCATTTTGGTATGGCACGATTTCATGTTTGCATGTGCCATGTATCCTACAAATGAAGAATTTGTTCAGTTGGTGGAAAATGAGGTGCGATACCAAGTTATGAGGCTTCAGAGCCACCCTTCCATTATAATCTGGAGTGGCAATAATGAGAATGAGGTTGCACTAAGAGAAAACTGGTATGAAACGAGCGTGGATTTTAACCTGTACAGAAAGGATTACATCAAGCTTTATGTTGAAACGGTGAAACCACTTGTAGGATTGATAGACCCAACAAGACCTTTCATAGTTTCATCTCCCTCAAATGCACTGGAGAGCGAAAGTGAGGGCTGGATAGCTCAGGATCCAAGGAGCCCGTTGTACGGTGATGTTCATTATTATAATTATACTGCTAACTGCTGGGACACGACTGTCTTTCCCAAGCCAAGGTTTGCCTCCGAGTACGGTTACCAGTCTTATCCTTCTTACGAAACTTTGGAAAAGATATCTTTAGAAGATGATTTAACATGGGATAGCAAATTGATGTTTTATCGTCAGCACCACCAGGACGGTAATCAGCAGATAGAAAACATGATATCCCAGAATTATATGCTGCCTCGGTCAACTGACAAACGGCTCTATTTCAAAAAAATGATCTATTTATCACAAATTGTACAGGCTGTTTGCATCACTAAAGAGACAGAGCATTATCGAAGTTTAAGAGGGCGCCTGGTAAGAGAGGAATCTAATACATATCATGTTCAGAGAAATATGTCAAAGGATAGTAGAGATGGTACTCTGATGGGTCACACAATGGGGGCAATGTACTGGCAACTAAACGATGTCTGGCAAGCACCATCATGGTCGTCTATCGAGTATGGAGGCAAGTGGAAAATGCTGCATTACCATGCAAGAGATTTCTTCCGCAACCTTATTGTGACTTATGATTTGCTTGGTACAATGCTTCATTTATTTGTTGTTTCGGACATCCTTGAGAAGGTCCCGGCCATCTTAAGCGTTACCTCTTTTAAATGGACATCTTTCAATCAGCTTATGCAAAAGAGAATCAAAATTACCATTGAGCCCCAAGTTGCTGTTGAAATCTTGCAAATGGAGGTCACTAACATATGCAAGCAACCGAGGGAGTGTTTTGTAATTCTTGAGTTGGAAGTTGAGCAGCTGCCAAACTATACTTACTCTCGACCAGTATTTCTTACACCGCTGAACCAAGCTATCGGCATCAGTAATCCGCATATCGCCATTATGCCCTCGGATATGCAACAAGTGTCTGCAAATACCATCAGCTTCAAAATTCGAGTGACAAAACCTGCAGCCTTTCTTTGGCTCTCATCTGACGTTCAAGGACGTTTCTCAAATAACGGATTTCTTCAATATAAAAATTGCAAAGAGCTGAACTTCACTTCAGTTGCACCTGTAGATCTGAAGACGTTCTCTGGCAGTCTAAAGGCCTTATCTTACTATGACGTCACAGTAGGATAAATCTCTGGTCTGCAAGTTATATTGCGAACGTCTACATGGTTTTTTTTGTACTTGAAGTAAACTGACAAAACAGATGAGAACGAACTAAACTTTCACATATCGTTTCCATTCAGTTATTTTTACCTTCATCCTTGTGTGAAGTTGTAATTAACAAATATCCTACTTTTGTAAAAGTTGTAAAAAGAAATTTTCTACGTCAATAAATTTGGTTGGGTCTACAATCAATCTTTGAATTTTCATATTGAGAATTTGATATGACAGACATTTCTTTAACAAAAGTAAAACTTCTGCTGGAGAATGTTATGTAAATATTGAATTGATTTTGTACAAATACAGCGTTTTCATAATATCACCATGAATTTTTGTTAAAAATTTTACTAACAATAACCTTTCTCCTCTCAGACACTTTTTCTTGCCGTAATACGAGCTCTGCCCTTTTATATACGCTCGGACGAGCTCTGCCCTTTTATATACTTTCGCTTCACACTTAGCGAAGTGTCCTACACAGGAAAAAGAAAAAGGGGCTTTGGCAACTTTAAATAATGTAAATAATGTAACCGAGACAAAATATAGATTTCGCCAGAAAAAATCTCGAGAAGAAAAGATGTTTTTGTTAATGACGTTTAGAATAATATTTTTAAAATTGTGTAATAGAATCATGAAAGTCTATGTATACATTGTACCAGAATTCACAATAAATATTTTTATACGGATATTAAAACACCAAGATCTATGATTATGAATTTTTATTTAGTACTAGCCTACCTTGATATTAAACTTTATGCGAAGAAGCTTAATAAGTCCCTTTTGGACGTAAGAAGTGTCGAACTTCTTTTAACAGTCGACTACATAAAACAATCCTTTTTGAGTGAAACAAAAACATTACTAAATATAAGCTACGGGTTTCAACATTTAAAGGAAAGGAAAATTTTATTGCTTGATGACCATAGCAATTCAAATAAAACTATACACTTGAAATTTCAAATTTACCAATTTTAAAACGAAAACTTTTATTTGATGGCATTATTATATTATAAGATTGTATTTATTTGTCACCGAACCACCAAATCAACACAATTCCCTCCCATGGTCGGCAGCTCCTGTCTAAATGTTTGACATGCAAGGCCCGAACATACCCTGGTGCACTACTTTCCATCGATAACTAGGATATCCATGCATAACCTCCTAAAAATCAAGATAACTAAAAGCAGAATTATAATCCATATTAGAGCCACGATGCAAGTTCCACCACGCTCTTTGTTATTTGTGCTACTTCTATTTTTGGCATCCACTTCAGGAGAATTTTCGACCTTGGGAAGTTTATTAATCCTTCGTCGAACCGCTTCTTGTGTTCCTGGCTCATCATCACCATCTTTTTGAAGCATTTCTAGTGGCGGATCGACATCATCTTCTAAAGTATCTGACGGCACAAACTCTTTATTCGTTTCATTCCCAGCTGTTAAATCAACACCATTACTGATGGTAGGCTCTTTTTCATTACCTTCCTTGGCAAAATCGTTTGAAGACGATGATGCATCAATGTGACTATTTTCTTCATCGCTTTTTTTCTGTGCTTTGTTTTTGCCAGCTGTCGAGGCTGTTTCCTCTGGTGGGCTCTAAAGAGAAAAATATCCGCTCAGAAAAACGTAGAAATAATAGATATTAGCAATATAACTTAATCACTGGCTGGTTGAAAGGAAAAAAAGCTTGTGTTCAACTTGATAGGAAATAGAACAGCTATGCAATTAAACAAAAGACGGGAAACTTTGCCCAAAACCGAATCGATTTTGCCAACGAGTTAAGCGAAGTTGTCTTCAATGTCTTCAAATTTGACCACACATTTTGACAAACAGGGGACCAAACTTTGTGACTAATAAAATGTGCTGTCAAAACAAGAGGGCCAAAAATACAGCTTTATTTCTTCGTTGCGTTTTATCAAGTCCAGTGGGAAAAATTGACGAAAATGCGAAAATTCCTGTTGCCTGCGGCTATTTCAAAGCTATTTTGAACACAAAATGCACGATGAGAGTTAAGGCAAAAACAAACAAATTTCGTAGGATACATCGACTGAAATTATTTTATAGATGAATAATTGATAAGTCAATTCATAGGTTAGAATGAATTTCTTTCGGCAAAAGAAATCACTATACATGATGGTGAATGATAAAAACTTAAAGAGGTTCACTTACGACAAAGTTGATCTGGCTTGCAATTGCTTCATCCTCCGCGTCGCCATTCCTTTTGTTACCTAATTTCAATGGAAAAACCACATAAGATGTATTCTTAACAAAGTCTGTATGTAATGCTTTACATATCACTGTGGTTCACCCCCATCTCTATGAGTTCACCACCCTATTGCATTCAGCAATCTTCTTTTACGCGCAACAAACTTCGCCTTCAAAGGCATTTTTAACTTGGCAAACTTTTTAGAATAATTAAAATACCAATTGCCAATGCTAAAAATACCAATTACCAATTACCTGCTTATAATGTCTTGAAAAACATTCTGATTTCTTCTGTAAAAACATATAAATCTCGTACAAGCAACTCATATGACCCAACTATCAGATGGTCGAATTGTCAAGTTAGCAATACATAAACTTTAGGTAACTGACATGGCAGTGAATTTTCAGCATTTGCCTTCTGTTTATCAAATAAATGTATATTCACACCAGATCATTTCAATCTGTGAGCGATAACTTTGAAGCATGGCAACGATCCACTCAGACTCTAAGATACTCAATACAGTATTGCTTTTCTGCAAGTCTTTATAAACTTCATAAAGGATAAACTTCTTACTTTCTACTAAGCTCTTCGCATTGTCTGAGCCACATGAAGAACAAACCCAAGTAAAAGACCTGTGGAACAAATTGGCATCATTACAAACATTTACAAAATATCATAAACCATCAATGTTGTTTAAAGACCACTTTTCACTTACGACGTATCGAAAGTATCGCATAGTAGCAATTTCATATCTCCTTTTATCAGTATCCCTTTTATTAATACTATATTACAAAGTAATCATTCACAAATAATAATACAGAAGAAACGACTCTTTTATCATAATTCAGAAACTGAATCCCTAAACACCTACTTTTTTGCCAGTCTTTTCCTTTCCTCACTTCTGTATTCCAATGCTCCAATTGCTCCTTCACCTTTTGAGGGCATGAATCCAATAATGGCAAGCAACACAGTACGGACTACAATATAAAACTCTTTGTTAAAGACAATAAGCCATTGCGCTACGCAAGCATCCCATAATGCATTTTTAGACATTTCATCTGACATTTCAATTTTGGTTAATTAGTAGAAGTTTACTGCCATTGTTTGGATCGTCGTCACGCTCGCAAAGGCCCATTGTTAGCAATGAGTAATTAAGCCTTTTTACATAAACTAAGCAAAGTATTCAAAAAGTGAGCCATTCCATTTTTCTCCAAATTTGAAACATACTATTTTGGACTGTTTTTAAATCTTTATTGTAAAGGCACAGACAAATTCATTGCATTCAAGACTGCCCTTCCAAAGAATAAGGGATGAAAATTCAAAACGGAAAATGAAAGATTTTTCAACCACTTTCTTTTTTCCAGAAATGAGGAATTATGACTCCTTTTTAAACAGAAATTATGAACTACTTTGGTGGTATATTTGAAATCCATATCTTTTATCCTAGGACTGTCATATCAAATAGGAAATAAACATGAAATTTTTATGTAAACAGCAATGGCATATTAACAAATTGTTCCATAACAAAGAAGTAGCTATGTTTTCGGCATCTAATATATTAAATCATTTTCTTTTTCACTGAAAGGCTTGTTTTTGAAAAAAATGCTAAATAAGATTCTTACTACTCCATGATGGCTGCCAGGTCTCTGGATGATGGGCAGACATGCTAAGACAAATTTTCTTTCCAATTTCAAATCTTCCATTTGGCTGCAAAATATTCATAAAACTTTCAAAGAAGATTGTAATGACTGTTACTCCCAATTTTCATTTCATTTTTAATTTATTTAAAGTAGGTATTTAACAATAGCTAAATAACAGCTAATTGATGACTTCGATTGGTTTCTTAAATCTCGAATTATACATATGCAATGGGCTTCCTAAATCCTTAATGATGTTTAGAGAAAAGCAAACTCATCTATTGAATGGCATGAACAATAAAACACGATTGTAGAATGCAGCAATGTAGTTATCAATTATACAGCTGAAAGGGCAACTCTTAAAATGAATTTGAATGCATCTATCACAGCTTCAAATGAACATACTGTCAACAGCATAATACTTGGTGGTTTCATTGGGTACTCAGGTGGCAGAAGAATTCTTCCATGATATCGCCCCTCTGCAAAGTCAGTGTCTGGAGGTCCACGTACAGTAAAGTGCCATTCAAATATGTTATCCTTTCAAAGAAAAACATAAAGACAAATTCTTAGTATAGGTGACAATTTTTCTTTAATTGTTCAAACATATGAAGCATATACTGACAGCAAGCTCATACAATACAATTTAGTTGCCAGACGACATTTTAGATGCCAGATAAAATTTTAGGTGCCAACTATTATTGATGTTGTGCAGTTTTTCTTTCACTGCATTTCAATATGTATGAAACATAGGATCAGTATAAAACTAAAAATTGAAACTGAAAAATTGTCGCTATAGACATGCTTTGTCACCTTCACATCTTTGAAAATCAGGAAAGATCAAATTGTTCTGTCTTTTCTGCTCTAAAATGTCTTAGACATTTTGATTATTGCTTCAAAAATTTGTACAATCAGGCCTTCTATGTTCCCATTTTCACTTGAGGTATCAACTAAGCATGTTTTGAATAACAAACAATGGCAATTGAAAAAAATCGGGAGATGAAACAACAAAAGACAATTAAACAAATTGATGTTTAAACCAAATAATGGTAAAGTGAGACAATGAAAGCAATAAAATTGGATCTGTAGCAGGTCATCTAAATTTAATGATTTCTTTAAGCTGATGCCTTTGAAAAATAATTCCGAATTCAATCTGAACTCAGTAAGAAGTGAATACTGTAATAAGAAATTGATGATAAGATTTAACCACAGATGAAAATTTGAAACAAGTTTGGGAAAATTTTAGAATTATTCAGATTTTTCAAAGCAACTGTTTTATGGCTAAGAAATTTAAACAAATAATCTTAACATGCAGCTTCATATTCCACATGTGACTGAAGGGGTAGGTCTGTCTGTGTGTGTTTGTGAAGGTGTAGGTCTCTACAGCCATTACTTACATTCACCTGAAAGGCCTGTACATTGTACAGCTGACACATGAATAACAAAAGCAAATAAAAATGAGCAGGAAATAAATATTTTGCCATGTACCTCAAGTGGCTGTGCAAAGTACTGATCAGTTGGTTGACATAGTTCTGCCGCTTCTCTCATCAGTCTCTTTACAGCTAAAAAAAGTTATTGCATCAAATTGATCATTTCCATCTAATTTCTTAAAATTTGCACCAAAGTTATTTCTACTTTCTCTCATTTCATAAATATGAATGCAAAAGATTGGAATTTTTCTGAAGAACCACAGTTATCATATATAGACCTACCAGCTGTCAAGGTTAGGCAGTGTTTCAGATACTTTTTTCAAAGCCCTTGTGGGATTTCATGCCTTTTTATGTGGGTCTTTTTTAGCTTAGGTATCACTACCTAGAAAAAGCTTTCTTTTGATTTCAGACTTAATTCCCTTTGAACATTTTAAATAAAACTTTCTAAAGCTTTAATTTTTCACTTAAACTTTTAATTTGCAGGTCAACATCAACATCTTAGCTGAATTTATGATCTGCAGTAGCAACTAAATGTATGTTTGTAAATGTATACCTATGGTAAAAATCTGGTGGGCTTTTACAGTTTCTTCCAATTTTTAAAACTAACAGGCTAAATAATAAAAAAAATTCAAAGAAACAAAGAAAAAAACCCCCTTCTATACTTTTTCCAATATTAGGAATAAGTGAAAACTCAGCCTGGCATGCTAGCCATACTTGCCACATTTTAGCAACTATACCTTGTCCCTGTTCACATTTGATGATGAAATATACAAGTTTGTGTGACAAGGTTTGGGACACCAAAAGGATAGAAGTCAAACTGAGGTAATAAGCAAATGCACATTGGCATAATATATGAATTGAGGATTGTGGCAGCCTTGCTGACTTTTTAAGGCTCTTAGCAGCATTGAAACTTATTTCTAGAACAAGAAAATTTAGCATTGCCCTAGAGGAATCAAAACTGAAAATGTATGTATGATAAACAAATGATAAACAATATCAAAATGTTTTCTTTAACAAATAATCAAGTTTGAGTTGAAAGAGTTTTTTGTAAATGGTTATGCTATCTCCACCCTTCTGGGGCGTATGTGTAGCAGGGGCGGCGAGGAGTGATATAAAGTTGCTATTACCACAAATATATGTAGCCTGTGAGTTCTTCACTAGTGAGTTTTTAAACGATTGTTTTAGGACCTATATCTCTTTTCTCAAAGTCTGTATGTAAGGGTGGAGCCGCTAATCTATTCCTTTGGAATACTGGGTCTACGCATAGGCTGATAGCCTTTGTGAAAGGTGGCTACACTTTGAGGCTGATAGACCCCAGCGGCTCTTTGCCATCTGGGAAAGCCCCTTGCTATTAAAGGTACACTGTGTTATAGCAAGATTGCCACTGTGGTCTAATTGGGTACCTGAGAGCGTATTAGTTTCCCTGTGAGAAGTTTGTCTGAAAGTTTGTAAAAGCAGCATAATGGCCTCATCCTCTATAACTAAAAATGCCAGAAATAGTATGTACTTTATGTCTGAATCACCTTAAGTCAAAATTTATCTGAATCGGCTGTTTACAAACTTCAACATCGGGTTCGGACGTCTATCATTTTGAGGCAAAGGCCCTGCTCATGAGTTAATTAGCCTACATTTGCAAATATAAAAGGAAGAAAGCCATTGAAACATCCTGTCTGATACATCTATACAAGCAGACGCGAAACGATTTGTTTTTTTTCACGTCAAGCTACTTCATTCTCCTCGAGATGAGCACCTATCTGATTCTCTTGCTATTAAATCTGAGATTGTAATAGCAAAGCAGCGGGATTTGCATTCCAAACAAAGCCTATTGCGCTGCAAACGAAGGGATTTATGATGTAATGTACTATTGTTTTTCTTCATTTGCCTTAAAAAAGGCCAAAGTAATAGCATGGCCAATCTGTGGCTGAAGAATGAGGCTCCTCTTATGCCGTGGTATATTGGCTTTTGATGAAAGGTCTGTTGCGGCTACTATAGTTTGATTGAATGAGGCAATTACAACTAGAACCGTGGTTGAAAATTTTTGTGTTTCATTTTATTTTTCTTACATTACACACGAAGTGGCCTTGAAAAAAATTGCTATTACAGTAATAGTAATTATAGCACTGCCGACCGCCCCTGATGTGTAGTCTCTAATGTCACCTAGTCTTGAAAAGTTGATTATTTTCTTATTTTGGATATTCAGTCTCTATTGTAATCAACAATCTAAAATTCAACCCTTAGCTTCTCAGATCAATGACCACTAAATAACCAGAGAGAAAAATAAATAAAATTGGTTTTCCTTTTTAGCTATTGCTGTACAAAATTTATAATTTCTGGTGTTGTGATAGAAAGTGCTAAAATCATAATTCAAAGCACAAGGAGGATTGGGACAGATGTGCTGAGGGGGGGTTTAGCCCCTAAATATCTTTCAAAATGCACTGAAATCCAAACAAGAAGTGGCATTTTTCTTGGCTTTTAGCAAGTTTAAACCCCCCCCCCCTCCGATAAAAAACACTTTTATCCCCCTCAACCATAGTATGTTTCATGGTCCTTAACTACATATCTGTAGTATGAAAAATATTCCAGAGATTGAGCTCAAATGTTAACAGAATCGATGAGATTGAGGTCTTTTAGCCTGTAACACTTTGAGATGGTGTGTCCTATTTAAAGATAGATTGTAAAAACTAGGATTCATTCTGATACTATTTCATATACTTGCGGAAAGACTTCATTAGCTAGTACGTAAACAAAACCTTGAAATTTTAAGTTTGGTATTGTTGAATTGCATAGAGTAGCTTTCTTTATATATGGCATAATTCTCAATGAAAATTGAAACTTCAAATGAAATCCTCCTGTTTTTTCTTTAATTGGAAATATAATAAAACGTTTGCCATTGTGGTGTTTGGGCCATTAAAAGTATGGGTGCTCTCTGTACTTTAAAAAGTCCACTGCCTAATGACAAAATACTTTCGTTCAATCCCAAATTGAATAAATTGTGTTGCTTAGAGTTCTTGCGTGCCGTTCTACTTTCACTTGGTTGAGCAACGTTTGCAAGGTTGGCATCCGACAAAGAAATGATTGTTTATTGATCGGTTTGTGATACTTTCTGTGAATTATTACAAAACAGTCACAATTCACTGAAGTTGATTCAACTTCTAAACAGTCAAATTTGATATTTTTGTTCAACTTTGCAAGTATATGCGTAAAAGTTTATCTTACAATTATCAACCTGTATAAATTTAATTCCTAGCAAAAGATCTGACTTGACTCACCAGGGCTACGAAGATTGTAGTGCGCCTTGCTCCCCATGGCACTACTACTGACACGTCTGCGCCACTTATTTCTTATTTCCCATACTTTTTGGTTAACGCAGATATTAGTTGAGAGGAAGAATAAACTTAGTAAGTTGACGCCAAACAGCGCTGTTTACCTCCCGGCCTTCACAACACTTGACACGTTGAATCTTAGGTACATTGCTGCTATGTTGTTGTTGCTACTGATATTTGCCACTAGTTATATTTGTCCATTTAATATGTGGTCTGATTGAACATGGCTTCTGAGTGCTAACTTACATTGGACAGAATTTCTTTAATTTATGATGCATACAAACTAGTATTCGAATTAAAACAAATATACACTAAAAAGAATAAAAACAAGATTACTTTATTTGAATTCTAAAGGAATAAACTATATACTCAAGGAACAAAAGATCTGTATACATAAATTGATTAGAAAAAGAACTCTCTGAGTATGTGTACTAACAAAAAAGACACCCCATCCCCCTGTCCTAAAATCCTAATGTATTTTGAGTTGTTATATATATGACAAATCAAATTATTATTGTAATTTAGCGCAAGCTTCGTCAATCCTTTTCAGTTGATTCTAAGGAAAGTCAGTCATCTTACTGAGGTTCTTTGTTGATAAGCATCTCTTCGGGAAAAATGAATTAATCTAAGAAAATGTTAAGTAAACCAGGGACGGTTGAGAGAGATGTAATAATTGGGTTGGAAATCCAAAGGTCTGACACCCTAAATGGTCAGTGAAAATTATAGTTCTGCTTGGGGGAATCTAGCAAAAGTCTTAAGTTTCTCACAAAAATGAAGTTTATAAAGTATATCTTTAATCTCAAGAAATGCTATTCAGAAATGTACAAAACCCTCATTTACTATTCAATTTCTAATGATGTTTCAAATCACAGCATGTGCAGAACATTTGCCTTTCTAACATGCACTGCATGAAGCTTATTTCAGGCTGTAAGTTTTATAGAAATTTCCCTTTCAATTTGAAACTTGTAACTCCAATTCATTGCCGACATCAATGTCCATACAGTATCGTCAAATTATAGCATTTATTTATCTTAATGGACATATTGTAAAGCTAACCCTTCCCGTCTTGGATCATAGCTACTTGAATATGCACAAGATTTGTACGGATCTATATCTTTACAATTCATCTTTGAACGTAGTGCTATAGATAAAGAAGTAGATCAGAAAAAGCTAACCCTATAACCCAAACATGCAAAGCTCTTGTCGCAAAGTCAGTGTTTTATATGTAAGTGAAAAGAGCAGTCTCTGTGAAAGACTGGAGTATTTTTACTTTTATTGACAAAAAGGATTAGAAGGGCCGTGGCCCGTTTAAAAGATGCAATATGGAAAGTTACAACGTTTGGAAAGTTTTGCGACATCCAAGTTCGTGTTTCTTGGCGACATACCAAAATTCATAGATTTGATGTTCCAATTTGCAACACAACTTCAATTTAAGCTACAAACCTTCACTCTTGACACAACATTCCCTTCTTGAAGATTTTCTTTTCACTTCAATACTTGAATACTTCAAACTGAATGATAATGGTCAGGAAACTAAAGTAAATTTTATATTGATGACTTTTTTATTTGGACATACTGAGATTTTACATCTACAAAGTTAAAATCAGTTATAATATTTTACGAAAGCAAGGAAAATTTCCAAAATGTCGATATGATTAATATTGTAATATTGACAAAACCCAGATAAGAGCACAAATGAAATTAAGATTATGCAATAATGATTTCTATTGTCTTGTTAAATGAATATATTATCAAGACGAAGAATATTTTGCATTTACAAAAATACAAATCGAGTGTAGGTTCATTTTCATCAAGCCACTGTAACTTTTCTGTTTCTAGGTGCAATCAGAAAACTATTGTTTAATGAACCAAGTCAAGTCAAAAGCAATCTTGTAAAAGTTTCGGGCATTTCAAGGACCATATTTCAGCCAATTCGTAGAAAATTAACTGATCATGCAAATTGGGAGTCATTCTTTGGCGTATCAGGCTGTGTGACCAAAATTTTATATTTCTATGAAGCCATCAATTTATTTCTTTCTGTGTTTCCAAAGGTATATGATGGTCAGTTTTGATTTTCCTCGGATTGTTGTGTGTAGTATGTACAAGCATTGGTTTAAAGATCAGGGCTAAGCTTAAACAAGTACTGGTAATGTTGTCTTCTTCTGACTTTGTTTTTACCTTAAGAAAAGGCATGAAGACTTGTTGCTAGATATTAGGCCCCTAAAACGTTTTTAATCGTACCACGGGCAATCTGATTGGGAGGAGTCACTAATCTTCAACTTTTCCGTGCATTATTTAATAAATAAAACATTTGTTGCTCGCTTGGCCACCTCGTTTCAGGATTCCTCCAAACCACTTCCATTCACTGGAGTTTCATACGAATTAGGATGGTTTAACAACGGCGATGTTGTTTGTAGCAGGCGGAGTATAGGTGATCTTTGGAAATCGGCTGTCACGCAATCATTTAAATTCAAAGGCAAACTTTTCTCTGTAATTATCATATCTTGGTGTACAAGTCGAGCAGTATCTTAGCTGGGAGAAGCATCAAAAAACCTTTATCATAAAGATTTCTTAGACTTTAAGTACGTGACGTTGTTCTAAGCAGCACCGTCTATCGACAACAGGTTAAATGAAAGTAAAGAAGTCTCGTGGAATCTTAACTTTGTACTTAGGCATCTGGAACATCATTGCTCGAAATTACACAATGATCCAAAACCGTGCAGCCATATCTGTGATCAATGAATATCTCTGCTTATGAATGTCTAGATATAAATGACCAGCTTGGGTGGAATACAGTCACAGATTTAATTAATCGGAGATATTGTATATGTGAAAAAATGGCTGGACGATGGGGCTTCTGAGTTCCAGAATCTAGTTTCAATGAACTTTCTAAACAACTACGAACCTCCTCAGGTCAAAAAAGCTTCTCTTGAAGAGGAAAATGACTCTGACAAAGAAATAAAGATGAACGAAAGTTTTATAAAGTTTCCAAAAGATAATGAAAAATAGACTTAGGTCCTTTAGTCACTTTGTCCCTCTTTCTATCAAGTCCATGCAACTGATATTTTAGTTTGAAACTATATTTTTCTTGTTATTACAACCATCATATTTTGTTTACTTTTAATTCTTTATGCAGCTTATTACAAATTTTTGACAGGGCAGTTTGTAAGTTTGTTAAGCAACTATTACCTGTATAAATGTTTTGAAATGAAAAGAAATGGAATGAACTAAGCATGAAGCTAGATATTTTGAAGATTTGCCTATATTCCGGATATTTTAAGCATGCTGAATAATTCTAAATTCGAGGTAACTTTGACAATCTGTTACACTTTTGGCCATGGAAAGGGTAGCTAAATAGTACTTTTGTTTTGGTATCTTGCTATTAAAACGTACAAAGCATAAAATGGTTCAAATCAACCATCCATCGAGGAAACATGCACCCCAAATAAATGTACATACACCTTTAAACGTGCAAAATTCAAAACCTAAAGCAAAATTATGGAATATGATTTGATACCACCTCCTATGAATGTAGAAAAATTGAGAGTGATATCCCAAATAGAATTTAAAATTGCCAATCTTTGGCAATATCAAAAGAAAAATTGAGACCATTGAAATGAAATTGAAATGAAATCCTGCTTTGAAATGAAATTTTGACCTGTGCAGCCATTATATCAAATTCGTCAGGTTCGTCGATAACCATTATATTGTATATTCATCATGTTATCTTGCTATTTTTTAGCTTAGTTAGTTGGTTTTACTCAACCTTCTGTAGCAATTTTGAAAAAAACAACTTGAAACAATAGAATTAAAAAATTCTAAGCAGTAAAGTAAGCTGCAGCACCACTAATTACTGAGGAGGGAAGTGTTGAGTGGTCTTTCTATTTTATTTAATCTCAATTCAAAATCTCCCATTAATCCTATTCCCAAATGCTTGTCTGTAAAACATGGACTCCTTTCTATAGTTTTCAAATATTTGCAAATCACGTGTTCTTGACAACAGGCCTCATGTTTGTGTTACTGCTCTTAAATCTTCTCTGTGCTTTCTTGACATTATCTAATTTAGGTAGGCCTCAAATTCATATACGAATATAATTTATAATTGAGACACATACTCTAAAAAAGTTCTTAAAGATAAGCCCTTTGGGGTCTTCCTAAAAATTGCTCAAAACTAAACAACATAAAAGCTGCCAACACATCTACATTAAGCTTGATCTCACCATTTGTTTGTAATGTCTTATTTTTGGTTCAAGCTCTTGCTCTGAATAAATTTTTTTTTCATGAATTTCATAAGTGTATGGGGCCTCATAATCAAACATAACAAAAGCATGCCTTGAAAATAGCAAACCATTGCAAGAAAATGATTGCAAGAAATATTCTAAAATGTATTTTAGGCTAATCTAAAGGGTGTCGTCGCAAAAATATTCAAGAAGGCCTCTTATTCCAAATTTACCTAGGGCCTCCGACAACCTCCTGCCGGCCCTTCCAATGTATCGTTACATAACCAGTATCGCGTAAAGTCATTGGTATAACATACCTTGAAGCATTTTAGTTCGTTTTTCAAGAATTTTTTAAAGGTCAAATAATTCTATCAACTCGAGCCTCTCTCCCCCTCTCCCCCCCCCCCACTTTTATTTTTTTTAGAGCGGCTCCTGGAGACTATCATTACAAATAGAGCTATTAAAAATAACCAATTTTAGATTAACCCAGTTTGTCTAGCATACTAATATTCACTTGCTCTGCTATGAAAACACCGTTCATCTGGGAACTTATGTGATCCAGAAAACTACTACCATTTCAATTAAAGAAGTGCCTATGGAATCACAACCCTAATTTTCTGTCTATGCGTGTGCAATACAGAGTCATTGCAGAAACATCGTAGAAATTAATAATTTCTAAACGTTCGTATTGCAGACGATAGCATAAGAAGATCAACAGGAAAATATGAACAAAATTACAATGTCTGTTGAAATCTTTAAAGCCCTCAAATCATGTTCCATGGAACTATGTCAGTTTCTCGCATTCATCAAGAAATTATTTCTGGAGCTGCTCCCATTTCAGATGGCTCAACACTGCAGCACCAACCATTACTAAAGTGTGACACCTTGGTAAATCTTCTGTTTACTTCAAAATTATCTAGTGTATTGAATAACAATTAGTC